AAGTTATATGCATATATGCATAACCCATGGACACAGTCAATAACAGGTTGAAGGCCTGGGAATGGGGTGGGAGCGAAGCGGAGGGGATCAATTGGGGGGAAAAATGGGATACCTGTAATACTCTCAACAATAAAGATAAATTTAAAAAAAAAGTGTAGTGGTTAGCTAGTCTGTCTTTTTCTATACTGTTAAAATTCTCCACATTTATCTCAGGTAAAAGTATTTTACCTGAAATAACAGGTGAAGTTTTTATTGGATGGGGAGAAAGGTAGGAGAGTAAGACAAATGATAAGGAAGCTTTCAAATTCATCCCCAAACTTCAAAAGACTGCCTCAGTAATTGCTTCTCGGGAATTACACGCATCCACTCCATAGACTGGATAATGAAAGCCCTAGCTGGTTTTGCTCAATGGTTAGTCAGCTTGCGAACTAAAGGGTCCCGGGTTTGATTCTGGCCAAGGGCATGTACCTCGGCTGCATTGCGGGCTTGATCCCTGGCCCTGACCAGGCACCTGTGGGAGGCAACTAACCAGTGTGTCTCTCTCACATCGATGTTTCTCTCTCTCTCTCTCTCTCTCTCTCTCTCTCCCTTCCACTCTCTTTCAAAAGCAATGAAATAAAAATATCCTTGGGTGAGGATTAAAAAATAAATTAAAAAATAATTAATGTGGATAATGAAAGAATGTTAACCACCAACCTAAATCCCCCTTCCACCTCCCACCCAACATACTTTAAGATGGAAATGGTTAAGCAAGCTGCCAACAACTTCCTTTTATATTTTCCCTAAAGCCTCATTCCCCTTCCTTTAAAATACAACCACAAAAAGTGATTTAGATCAAAAGAACATAGACTTCCCCCCCGCAAAAGTCAGTTTATTAAAGATAGGCTTACAAACTCAGCAACAACCAAAAGCACAGTAATATTTAAAGTGTTAAATGGGGGAAAAGAGTTTTTATAAATGCTTCCTTCTTTGAGCACTGAAAAAGTACTTCCTTATAAGCTTGCTAGCCTGCTGATACTTGTAAATATTTATACAATATGAATTGCATCAAAACTGCTATAACACGGAATAGCTTTGGCCACCAAGTCTCACGTCTAAAACTGGAGTGGGCATCACAACTGATCCCATCACTGGAACTGTTTGGCTACAGCAATTTGAAAACTAATTGCCTTAGATGTGAAAGAAGCTCAACACCTCTCACTGCTCACTAAAATCTTTGGCCAGAACAAATGTTTTTTAAAAATATGCTTCTAAAACAGCAAGTGAAGTCGCTACTAAATACTTTACTAAATGCCTTATACTTGAAATAAAAAGGCATTTAAGAAGGGATTGAAGAAATGGATTCCTTTGATGAAGTTTTTCTCTAAAGAGAATAAGAGCTTTTATATTTATTATTTGGGATTAAAATATTTAGCTTGGGTTTTTCTACTTTCCTATAGGGGCATATGGATTTTTACCATCCCTTCCTAAGTAGGATGAGTTTGTATTTCTAGTATATACAACACAGACGTGGAAAAAGCATGCATTTGGTGGGGATGATAAAACTAATCTATGATTTTAAATTTTTTTAAAAAGGAAAAAATAAAGAAAAACAAAGCTAATTCACAAAGTGGATAATCAAGGGTTGATCTACTAAAGTCAAGCAGCATCAGAAATAATTCCTCTGCATCAAAGAAGATATGTAAGAGATGGTAATAAAATGTGAGTTCTTATATGCCAGGTACTGGTTCTTAGTACTATATTTGTATTATGCTATTTAATCTTCCCCAAATCCTATGAAGTAGGTAGACTTTTACTTTACAGACCAGGAAACTGGGGCACAGAGCTCAGAAAGCTGAGGCCCAGGATTCAAATGCAGGCAGGCAAACTCCAGAGCCAGCTCAGCTAAGAGTTATTCTATCTCCTGATCATGGGTGAGGACCTCCCATTTATAGATAAATCCAGAGAAGGGAAATTTGTGGTTAAACTAAAAAACTCATACTCTAGCTCCAAATCCCTTTTCAAAACAGTACAAAACTAGCAAAGAAAAACACATCAACGCTCTGAGAAACAGAATGAAAAAATATTAATCATTCTGAGCAAACCTCATGCTGGGTGGCAAGGCACAATATTTCCATTTTCTATCGCTAGTGCACAAACACAGCCAGTCATAGCAACTAATATTCTCTTCTTTTTATAACTCCACTCAGTGAAGCAAGTCAAGTCAAAACAGAGCACGTACACACAGGAGAACAGAAAAACACCACCACACACATTAAGCAGGTTTTGAGGTTTATTAAAATAAAGTATTAGCAAACAATATGCAAAAACAAAGTTCTTAAGAATTATGGCTTTGAAAAGCACAATATAGTAAAACCTAATACATTTTTATAAGTATCAAAAAGATAAGAGAATGGAAGCATGTTGCTAGAGTTTCACTTTCTACAACAAACAGAAGCAGAACAAGTACATACAAGAAGCAGACCTATAGTGCAGCCACTGGTTTGGTCTTTATCATCTGCATATGCAATATCTTCTTAAGAGAACATGGGCAGGTACATAAACATCCACTTTTCATTACGATCTTATCTAATTTTAAAATAAGGAATTTTCAAAATGCAACTTAACCAACAAGGTTAAGAAGAAAGCCATTTGCCCAACTATTATCTTCAAGAGTCCCTACAGTTAAAAGTCTTTGTGAATGAATCAAGGCAATATCACGTGCAATGGGAAAGCCGACCCTAGAAGATTTTTTCTTTTATAAAGAACCTGGGCTTGTTTACCTCACTGGAGTCTGGTTATAGCTAACAACAACTGGTATTAAGGCAGCACTACTAATGGGATAAAAATCTACCTGTACACAAAATTCTGAACTTTTTAAAAACAGCATCTTCAAATAAAACCTTACAGGACCATAGGATGACGATTTTAAGAACATTAAGAACAGAATTCTTTAGACGAGAACCGCACAAACCTTTTTCACTCTGCCGCGAATGACAGAAGAATGTTTTCAACAAAACAACTCCTCACTGGTTTTACAGCAATTGCTACCAGCAAATATTATAACATAAGCTCTTACTTTTAAAAAAATTAATATGTAAAATCTCTCTTATTGGTTTTATAAACCATCCAATTTTCGGGTAATACTTTGATTATCACACAGTTGTATTTTAGAAGATACATTTCTATTATGAATAATCCAGTATAACAAAGGCTTGATAAACACTGTTACCTCTTAGAGTCAGGACACTCTGAACCTGAACTGCAATGGATTCCAAAGAACTGTCCAAGTTTCTGTGCAGCAAGTGAAATTGTTTATGCAGAAGTGATGCCTTGAATTATCACTATCCATACATAGATCTTCTGTGAGAAGAAAACCTCCCCAGAATCCTACCTGCATCAATGAGGAAAAGGCTGCTGTTCAGGGAAAAAACAGGCATCGAACCTGAGATTACCCCCAAAAAGTTATCCTAGTTAATATCTGAGGAGACCATCCATAAATCAATGCTTAGGAAAACTCGCTCCCATAAAAATCACCAAACTTCTAAAATCACCAGGCTATCTACTACCTTCAAAGATCCATGCTTATCTAGCTGATGAGTATGAGGAGGAAACATTTATATTCCTACGAGAGATTGAGGCTTTAACGAAGACAACACAGAAGGGCTCTGACTCTCTTAAAAGTCAACAGGTCCAAAATTTAAGTCATCATTGGAAGTTGAATTCAATAATTATCAAAAGATTCTTCCTTTTTAAGGTAGGATATATTAGGTACTAATATATTTAAATGGGAAAGCGAGAATGATCCAAAGTACTATTAAGCAGACAACTAGAAAAAGTGTGAAGAAATGGATCCAAACTGGTATATTAGATACTCTCTGTAACAGCAGCACAGCACTTAAACGGGTACTACCAAACTTTTTAGTCTGCTATTGGTAGGATTTGATTTTTTATAAAAACTTTCTCCCCCGGCAGAACACTATTGCAGGGGAAGTGTTTCCCACAGGTACCCTCAAATACAGGTTTTATGAGCCCCAGTTCTTGTCTTGACAATACATTTCAGATCTGAATACTTATTGATCATTTTACATCCTAAAAGGATGTCTTGCTCTCAAGTGTATGAAAAGTATATGGCTGCATCCCCTTTCTGTACTACTAGGTGTAGCTTATTGAACTATCTAGTAATCTTACAGTGGATTTCACCTCAGAAACCCAGCCAATTCTATTACCACAGTTTTCTTATATAACAATAACATTTAAAAAATTGTTTATGTTTTGATGTATTTTACATTTTGCTTGATGTCTCCCTTAAATTTTCTCTAAAGAAAAAAATGTTAGCTTCAATAGACCAATAACATGCCTACTAGTTTTCATTTCACACCTTAAGTCAGGCAATACCAACCAGACCGTAATATCTTTTATGTAATGCTGTTAGTCAAATTCTGTGTGTGTATTTCAATCAACATCTTTTTGTTGCTTTAATTCACTACTGAAGTTAATTTTGATGCTATTCTTCTTTTTGCATTTACCAAATTGGTTATAATTTTATTATTCCCAGACTCTCTTTTCAGCTGGCATATATTAATATGTTCTACATGCTATAAAATGATTATTTTAATGGTGTTGTTTTATAAACCATTCTGGATATTAAATAAAAACTTAAAACTGTAATTTTCTGAAATGGTTTCTTTCAAAGGTACTTTCTTTTCATTGATCACATTTTTACTTAGTTTTTTAAAATCTTACTGGCAATTTTTATTTCCTATCCATGGATAATGGACATCTTCGGGAATCATAGAAGCAGCCAGATTAAGTTTTCACTTAAAATCCAGAAGTGTGGAATTGACAATTTTCAGGAAATACAACAGGCTTATACTTCTCCATGAAATTCTTAACAGTTAATAGCTTCAGTACTGTCATTCACGAGACACAGCTCCTTAGAAAAAACACAGAAAAGGCCATTCACATAAAATCCTGCTAACTTTGAAAGCTGTGACATGAATAAAAACAATTTTTAATTAACTCAATTAAAAGTATCGATAAAACAATTCAATAGTTTTCCTCAGTTCAAGCCCCATGAAGTTGATTACATGTATCTGTCATTCAACCAGGGTATTTTATTCCTATAAATTTGTTCCAAAGATTGTGCCATGAGCCTGGTAAGTAAAAAAAGAAAGAAAAAAAAAGAGTAAATAAAATTGTTCTCTCACTAAGCAAATATATCCTCTTTCATACTGCTGACACAATTATGGAAGATTGATAATGCATATCATGGAAAACATATATTTAAGGCTCAGGTAACTGTCAGAAAGTATCCTTTCATCCAGCAAAGGGCTGTGAGCTGAAGCACATGGCAGGCACTTCACCTGAAAGAACGAAAACCATCCATTGGCTGCACTTTGTAGACGCAATAAATAAATGTCATAGAGAACAGAAAGAATCACATTCCCCTTTCCTCAAAAATGCACTTACTTCCTCACAAAGCAGAGAGGGTAAGGTGGAAAGTCAAACCAAACTAACATCTTAAACACAAGACTGACATGACTCCATATAGTACTTACACAAGGTACCAGAAAATAAGTTTCTTCTGATAGGTAAATTAGGTCACTTTTTTTCATAATAATGTCTTTGCTCTCATACCATAACCAAGAGTCCATCTGTGCTCCCTAGAAAAAGAGGTAGAATCTTCTACCCAAAGCCTTTAAGCATGACTGATTAAATGAATATTTTGGAGTTTCCTTGTCTTTCCTTTCTGAGGATTGTGTTCTGGGTGATTAGAATTCACATAGTGCTAAAAAAAAAAGTAAAAAGAGCATGCATGGTAACTGACACGTGAATGTTTTAAAATCAGCTATCTCAACAACCACTGCTGATTCATTCAAGTATCAGACCAGTACTCCCATCTTTGGGGCCAGACTGAAGAGGCTCCTATGGCTACAGCACACAGGTCCTTGCATGGGGAGACTGATGTAATAAGAGCAATGAGATTAAGTACATGACTTTTCAACATTAATAATGTCCATAAAACTGGAATTAAAAAGGCACCTTAAGTTGGAGCTACAGAATAACAGTATTATAATCTAGGCTGAAAATACAACAAAAACTAAAAAAAAGCATTAATTTCCTACAACTGTAATCTATAAATTGCAGTGTTTGTTAATACAAAAGGGGTACCAAGGAAGTAAGGACGAGCATCTAAGTCCAAGTTACTTGAATGTGTTTCACAAAAGGTTACACTAAAAACTGTCACCCATCAAAGTGCAAAATAAAAGATTAATGCATGTCAAAATTAGAGTCCTTGCAACACCAGCTGAAAGCAGCAAACATAGCTGAACAAGGCTGTGCATGCGCTGTCACTAGCTATAACGTAGTACTTATGAGAGGTTCTGAGTAAATGACACATACTAGAGATCTGTTGTTGGCAATTTTTTTTAAAAAAAGGAAATGTCTTACAAAAGATATATTGAGTGAAGTCACAATACACTGACAAACATTTAGCTGTATTAAGTGTAATTTTTATGATGTCGTCTAGAAAACTATCACTTTGCTTTTACTGGACACTACTTGTTACAGCAGTGCATAGTGTTCCTTCAAAAGATTTTTTTTATAGTTTCTCTTAAGCCCCTACTATATGCTTTTATAGAACAATGAATTAGGTTTTTTAAAAGTTGGTGGGACAAAGAAACTGGTAAAAGTACAGCTTCTTGAGGATCAAGAGTCAAAGGGAAGACTTTTTACAGTATACCCTCTTATTACACTATTGTAATTTTTTCATTATGTGTTCTTACTTTTTAAAAAAATTTAAAAAAAATTTTTTTGAGACAATAATGCAAAAGAATGTTCCAGTTTAAGATTAATGCCAAACTTTTGAACTGGGGCACAATAATTTTTCTGTATTTTTCACAACAATTTGAGAATTAATCGCATGAACATTAATACAAACAAATGTAGATTCATCACAAAATACAAATGTATTGGTCACAATTATGTAGAAAAAAAATAAGCTGTTTTCCATGTAAGCTCACAGTATCTGTACTGAAAGTTTCCCTAAAATTAAAACAAGTCCACTAATAATATAATTGAAGTGAATACTTCTGCACTATGAAACAGAAGATATGGGGTTCAGAGGGGAGCCCATCTGAGTGAGGACTTTATCCAGCCACTGAAGAGGCCCATGAAGATGAATCTCAATCCAACACGGGGTACTGGTAACATCCTGCCGGTGATATTCTGCTCCCCAGCCCTGGGAAAATGAACAGATATCATAGCAAATACCTCTTTAAACTGTCAACCAGTTGAAACCAATTTTAGCACACTAACAAAAACATACTTTAACAGTAGACATATGCAGAATGTACTTAAAAAAAAATAATCACAAAACCAATCTTAGCATTTACCATGGAGTTAAAAGCAACACAATAGCTGCATTACTGAAAGATAAATGAATTTTTAACAACATATAATTCCATTAATAGAAACCCTTGGAGCAAACTGTTTCACATTTCTTTTTCTTATAATTTTATAAAGTTAATACTTTCTAAAGTGCAATATCTCATAACTTAAAAATTAATATTTCTGCAGTGAGATAAATTCTCACTTCAGATTTTGTCATCAACATTTTTTTGCTTCCAGGTGTTTTTTTAATATCAAATAAGGCATTGTAAAATGTGATTAACCCATGCAATTGCAATTTAAGTGGCAATCACATATCAACTATCCTTTAAAGTGGGAAATTGCTGAGAGGAATTGAGTTAGAACACTTTATCCTAAAACTCCAGATAAAGATTAAACATTTTTGTACTTTTATTTGCCTGTATTTATCAAACTCTCTGCTTTACCACTTATAGTAGTAGTTCTGGCCCAGGAAAATTAGTCTGGGGAGCTGGGACAGGGGAACAGGGCAGGGATGGGGGCAGAAAAAGATTATGCAAAAGTCATGTTTTTACAGAAGGGAAAGGAAATGAGTGCCTTCAAGGCTACTGATAAACTGATGCCTATGACAGACCTATAACAAAGCAGCAAGGAAGCACTGGACTGTGGGACTAAGTGCCAAAAAGAAAACACCCATACATAGCATTTGACAGTTGTTCTTCTTGGGCTAAATCCATAAGGATCAAGTATAGGTTGCTTAAATAGATCACTAAAATTCTTCCCAAATTTTGTTCATGAGCCATCATCATCTTTGGAATGCCAATAAAATCTGGCCAAGAGTAAATGATAAATTTGAAAAGTTCTTTAAACTTTGCAATTCTCAATAACAGAACTTAGATACAAGGAAAATAATTTTAGTATCCTAAAGAATTCTTTAAGTTACTCTAATGGGATCTAATAATAATTGAAACTGCTAAAGCTAGGGAACTCAAAAGAAATGTTAATATTAAATGCTCTCTAGCAATTTAGTCTTTAACTTAAATTCTTTACAAACTCAGCCCCTATTCAACATCAAAATCAGTATTGTGCATTTTATGTCTGGTTTATAAAATAAAATCATAGACTTATCATGTGGTCGAAGTTACAGATTCAAGAATTTCATTTAAAAACCAATAAATCAGGTCAAAATTACCACCTTTCATTTAATAATGGCTTTTTAAAAATTATATCCTACAGACATATAATATACATATTCACAGTGACTCAAATTAAGCTACAGGTCCCAACCCACTTACCTTGACAAAACTCATTCGAATTGTACACATTTTGGTGAGCTCATATACTGCCTCAAACCCATGATTGACAGACTGAGCCAGAAGCTGTGCAAACTCTTGATTGTTAAAAATTTTGAGGCTGCAGCTGCTGGGAATCTTACAGACAGTGGTAGGATGAAAGCCGTGATGGAAGTTGCAGTTCCTACTCTGTACAAATATGCTGCTGTCACTGAGACACTCTGCATACACCTCTCCACCAACATAGTACAGGTGAACACCTTAAAAAGACAGGCATGACAAGAGTCAACAAAGCAGTCTAATGAAACCAAAGAGGCAGTATGAAATGCAACCCAGAACACCCACCCACTAATCCATAGCAAACTCCCCACGGTCTTTAGATAAAAGGTACCACTAGATGGCCTTACACTGCCAAAGATAATCAAGAGGTTAATGTCTACCTAAATCTAAAACTGTCCTCCAGTAACTAAGACTTAAGACTCAAGTTGGGAGCATATTAGATTATCAGATCTTATAGTTTTTACCTTTTCCAACAATCACTTATCATCTCTTTGAGAGAAAGCAAAGGCAAAACACACACACACACACACACACACACAAAAAAAAGCGCCTTAGGATGAGTCCTTTCAAAGGAATGCTTGGTGCTATCAACTATCACACAAGTCATTTGGCAGAGTTTTGCACTCCTTCTGCTAATGGAGGGAAGAGTAACATTAAAAACAAAACAAAACAAAAAAAACCCTAAGGCACATATGTAAATTAAGGTCACAAAAAGGAGTCTTTAAATGGCAGATTTATTTTACTTTCCTTTAAAAAAATATTTGTGTCCCTGGCAAGGTAGCTCAGCTGGTTAGAGCATCGACCCCATATGCCAAGCTTACAGGTTCCACACCCAGTCAGGGGACATACAAGAATCAACCAATGAAGGCGTAAATAAGTGGAATGATAAATCTCTCTCTCTCTTGCTCTCTTCCTCTCTCAAATCAATACATTTAAAAAAGATTAAAATAAAAATTTAAAATATAAATATGAAGTTACAATTTTAAAAATATTAAAAATTCAAATTACACAGCTAAACTGAAGTTGTTCCCAACTTTTCACTACTGCAAACAGTGATAAAAAGGCCATCCTTGTACATACATACCACTGGCATGCACGGGAGTCACAGACTTGTATTAGGCTGTGACATTAAAAACTTTTTTCCTAAGCAACTTAAAATGAGCCATAGGAGAAACGGTCCTAGAACTGTATAATATACTTTGGGGAAAGTGCAAATGGGTTCCAGAATTCCAGAATTCACCAAGCAGCTTTCTCTTGATTTTTTCTACTCTAGCAATAAAGTCAGTGCACAGAAGTGAGCCCTTTCACCCAAAAAATCAAGTTGGCTAAAGTCAAAAGAGAATGAGAACTTTCTTTTCAATTTATTTTTGGCCATAGTATTTTTCTGAATCCCTTCTGTAAGAAATTGCATTACAATTATAGTTATTTACCTTTTGTTCAGTATTTAGACTAAGATTTTCTCAAGTCAAAGAAGCAAAAAGCAGCAAGTGGTAAAAACAAAAGTTAAGAAACAGGCAATACACTTTACCTGGGACAGACTTCCTTCCTGACCACTTGATACAAGAGACTGACATTTCATTGCAGTGAGAAGTTGTTTGTTATGGTAACTATCTTGCAGGACAAATTATAAATAAAACTTCATTATCTGAATTAAAAGGTGGGAGGGGTGATGGTGAAGCTATTGAAGATTTATATCACTCAAACTGGATTTCCTACCTGTAAATCCTTTTCCTCCAACATAATGGAAATTTCTACACATCATCTCAACCCAAAATACTCCATAAATGTAATTATAAAATCCTAATCCTTCCACAGCATTCATATATCCCACAAATATTTCTTGTGTATTTACTATGAGCCAGGCGCTGTTTTAGCTGCTGAAGATGCTGTAAACAAGGCAGATTTCTGTAAAGCGTATAGTCCAGTGGAGAAAAATAATTAAAAATATAAACATAGAAATAATATGCTTTCAGATCCTAAGTACTATGAAGAACAATGAAGCAGGGTAAGGAAAAGAGGACTAATTATATCTTTACTTCAATATCTGCAACTTGAGGCAGAGGCTAAGCCTTAAGCTTTGTATGCTCCAGCACCCTGCATAGGACACAGCAAGCACAACAAAGACAGCATTCAAGTGAATGCAGAGAAATGACAAAATTACCTTTTCCAATATGTCGCCTAGTGTTTTCAATTGTCGAATTACGATTAACGTTTGACAACAACCCCAAGCAGAATCTACTTTTGTTGTTTGAAGGGTCTGTGAATCCATCTACTAACACACTAGTAGAAGATGCATGAAAAGCTTCCCCAACACGATTGTTTAATTCATAGTAAACAATTGAACACCAATGTTTGGGCTCTTCATAGGCAACAGGCTGAACATCTGTGAACAAACCAAACAAAATATGCTTAAGGAACAATTATAATTTAATGAATGATTAATTAAGTAAATTATTATTTAATTAATTATTTAATTAAATTACTTAATGAATAATTATCATAAGACTCCAGATTCTTTTCTTTTTTTTTTTAACTCCTCACTTGAGGATATTTTTTCCACTGTTTTTCAGAGACAGTGAAAGGGAGAAAAAAAACTATCTATGTAAAAGAGACATATCGATGGGTTGCCTCCTGCAAGTCCCCTCACCAGGGCCAGGGAGTGAGCCTGCAATCGAGGTACGTGCCCTTGGCCGAAACTGAATCCAGGACCCTTCAGTCCGAGTGCTGACACTAAGCCAAACAATTTAAAATGTGATGTTGGTGCCCAGCCAGGTGTGGCTCAACAGCTGAGCATCGACCTATGATGCAGGAGATTGCGGTTTGATTCCTGGGCAGGGCACATGCCTGGGTTGTGGGCTCAATCCCCAGTAGGGAATGTGCAGGAGGCAGTTGATCGATGATTCTCTCATCATTGATGTTTCCATTTCTCTCTCTCCCTCTCCCTTCCTCTCTCTGAAATCAATAAAGATATACTTTAAAAAAGAAGTGATATTGGCTATCCTAAGCCAAACCTGCTAGTGCTGGACGACTCCAGATTCTTTATGTGTTTCCCTTTAACCCAACCCAAGCACTATATAAAAAAATTTTCAGATATTTCACTTAGTCTCACCGTCCTTCCTAACTCTGAGTGTGTATCCAAAAAACAAACTCCAAAATGCCTTGAATATGACAATTTAAAAAATTACACAAATACAAGGATAGCCAACATCACTTTTTTTTTAAAGTATATCTTTATTGATTTCAGAGAGAGGAAGGGAGAGGGAGAGAAAGAAATAGAAACATCAGTGATGAGAGAATCATCGATCGGCTGCCTCCTGCACATCCCCTACTGGGGACTGAGCCCACAACCCAGGCATGTGCCCTGCCCAGGAATCAAACCGCAATCTCCTGGATCGTAGGTCGATGCTCAACTGCTGAGCCACACCTGGCTGGGCACCAACATCACATTTTAAATTGTTTTCTAGCAGGATCTAATCCAGGTTTAAATTTGCAGTGACAAACCTGTTTCAGCATCCTAAAAGATTTAACTATACCAGTATCTCTAAAATTATATTAAACAAAAATCTGAACTAAAAAACTAAGTGAGACACTCAGCAAACCAGAATAGAGGGGAACTTCTTCAACTTGATAAAGAACATTTACAAAAATACTTACAGCTAACATCATACATACTTAATCGTGAAAACCTAGAAGCTTTCCTGCTAAGGTTAGTAGTAACAAGGTAAGGATGTTCTCACTACTCCTTTTCAACATCATACTGGAAGTCCTAGCTAATGCAGGAAGACAAGAAAAGGAAATAAAATGCATACAAATTGGAAAAGAAGAAATAAAACTGTCTTTTTTCACAAATGACATGACTGTCTACATAGAAAAACTGAAAAGACTGACAAAACAAACAAAAACAACAACAAACAAACCTCTCCTGGAACTAATAATTACAGCAAGGTTGCAGGATGCTAGGTTAATATACAAACCTTTATCACTTTTCATATACTAGCAATGACCAAGTGAAATTTGGCATTGAAAACTCATTACCACTGTCGTGACTGGTGTGGCTCAGTTGGTTGGAGCATCAGCCCGTACACCTAACCGTCACAGGTTTGATTCCTAGTCAGGGCACATATCTAGGTTGCAAGTTCAATCCCTGCTCCAGGAGCATTCAGGAGGCAACTGATAGATGTTTCTCTCTTACATCAATGTTTCTGTTCCTTTCTCTTTCTCTCCCTCCCTCTCTCTCCCTTCCCTTGTCTCTAAAAATCAGTGAATATGTCCTCAGGTGAGGACTAAAAAAAAAAAAACAACTCATTACCATTTACATTAGCACTCAAAAAATGAAATGCTTAGGTAAAAATCAAACAAAAAATATGTACAAGATCTTTGAAAAAACTACAATATTGTAATGAAAGAAATCAAAGAACTATATAAGTGGCTATACTATATTCATAAACATGATGCCTCAAGATGTCAGCTCTTCCCAACATGGTCTATCATTGATTCAATGCAATCCCAAGCAAAATCCCAGCAAATCATTTTGGATATCAACAAACTGATACTAAAGTTTATATTGAGAGGCAAAAGACCTAGAACAGCAAACACAATACTGAAGAACAAAATCAGAACACTGACACTATGACACTACCCAACTTAGAGACTTGCTATAAAGCTGTAGCAATCAAGACTGAGTGGTAGTGAAAAAAGAACAGAGAGACAGATTGCTCTGGCCAATGTGGCTCAGCTGGTTGGAACACTGTCCCCTACACCAAAAGGTTACGTGTTTGATTCCCAGCCAGGGCACATATGCAGGTCCGGGGTGCATACGGGCGGCAACCGATTGATGTTACTCTCTTACATTGATGTTTCTTTCTCTCCCGCTCCCTCTCCCTCTCTCTCCATCTCCTTCTCCATTCCTCTCTCTAAAAAAAAAAAAAAAAAAAAAATAAAAACATATCCTCGGGTGAAGATTAAAAAAAACAGACAAATAGATCAAAATAACAAAAAAGGGAACCCAGAAATAGACGCACATAAATATAATTAACTGATCTTTGACAAAGGAGCAAGGGCAATAATGGAGAAAAGATCATCTTTTCAACAAATGGTACAAGAACAACTGACATTCACATGTAAAAAAATTAATCTAGACACAGATCTTACACTCTTCACCAAAATTACCTCGAAATGCATCACAGACCTAAATGTAAAATGCAAAACTATAAAACTTCTGGAAGAGAACGTAGGAGAAAATTTAGATGACCCTGAATAAGGTGAGGAATTTTTAGATATAATACCAAGGCATGATCCATGAAAGGAACAGTCAATAAGCCAGACTTCATTAAAAACTTCTGCTATGCAAAAGACACTGTCAAGGCAATGAGAAGACAAGCCACAGACTGGGAGAAAATATTTGCAAAAGACATACCTGATAAAGGACTGTTATCCAAAATATACAAAGAACTCTTAAAATTCAACAAGAAAACGAACCAAATTAAAAAATGGATCAAGGACATAACAGACACCTCCTCAAAGACATACACATGGCAAATAAACATATGTGAATTAAAATAACAGTGAGATACCACTGCCACTCATTAGAATAGCCAAAATCCAAAACACCAAGGACACCAAATGCTGGTAAGGATGTGGAACAATATGAACTCTCATTCACTGCTGGTGGGAATGCACAATGGTACACCACTTTGGAAGACAGTTTGACGGTTTCTTATGAAACTAAACATACTTTCAACATACAATGCAGCAAATGTGCTGCATGGTGCTCCTTGGTATTTTGTGTGAAAACTATTATGTTTAGTAGATTAAGTGTATGAAGTGCTTTTTTGACTTAAAACATTTTCAATTTTCAATGGGTTTATTTTAAGTCAAGGAGCATCCATCTGTACTGACCAAATTCTTATTTGTGTAAAAGTCAACAATTCATAATGGACACAGTGGGTGGGAAGGCCATGGAACCTCTTCCTCCAGTGATAGTAGGGTGTCTGCTTTGGAGCTGTAATAAGACAGAAGTCATGGACCCTCAATTTACTTTTTAAAAAAGCAGGGATTGCCCTGGACAGTTTTGTTCAGTGGTTAGTGTCGGCCTGAGGACTGAAGGGTCCTGGGTTCGATTTCGGCCAAGGGCACATACCTTGGTTTCGGGCTCGACCCACTGCCCTGGTCTGGGCCAGTAGGGGAGGCAACCAATCTCTCTCTTTCTCTCTCTCTCTTCCACTCTCTTTGAAAAGCAATGGAAAAAATATCCTTGGGTGAGGATTTAAAAAAAAAAAAAAGCAGGGATAAACATGTAAGAAAAACTTTAGAGTGCTCACATGGCCTATGTATGCAGTGCAAAAGAACTGGTTAACTTTTAAAATTTAATTCTGATTATTCAATTGCAAAGAATTCAGATGAGGGAAAACAGAAAACAATAAATCAAAGTGGACCCATAGAGAGAAATCCTAACAGCTCAGATTTTAAAGAAGTTTATACAAAAATGGAACAAGGAGGGGTCCATAACCAAAGACACACACAAATGAGTAACAGGAAGTTATAAGAATAGTGTCGGGGAAGCTAGAGCCAAGAATGAGAAGAAGCTTGTAGGGGAAAACTGCTAAGCAAAACTAAAAAGACAATTTTAGTTAGGATGAAAAGAACAAAAAGAAAAGCTTTGCCTCTGCTCAAGGCAAAGGATATATTAACTGGTGACTCCAGGCACTGCAGTTTAACTCTGATTTTCCTTTTGTTACCTCTCTGTCAAAGAAAAAAAGAAAACACACAAAATAGGACTGAAATGAGAAAAATCTTGGTGAAAAAACACATCTATGACGATGAGAAGACTCATGTGTCAAGTTCCTCTAAAGGGACTCAGTTGTTCAGCTGAGACAAATTGTACTCCAAGGAACACCTAACATACCACACTAACAAACGGCACTATCTGGTCTCTAAAGAATCGGGAGAGAGAAGAAAAGGAAAACGATTGTTGGGGTAAATACTGTCCGTATTTTCAGAAGGAAGATGATAATATCATTTATTGGTTATTACCTGATGCAGTATGCTAAGATCAGTACATATATTGTTTCATTCAATCAATATACTAATAATCCCTTTGCATATATTCTACTTATTTTACAAATGGAGAAACTTAGGCTTAGAGATTTTTTTAAAAAGCTACCCTAAGTTGCAAAGCAAGTAAGTAGAGATGCAGGAACTCAAATCCAGAAATTCGTGTTCCGAGACATTTTGCTCTAAATAAAGGCAGATTCTATGAATTACAAGCAAACTAGTATGACAAAATTCCTGGGTAAATTCTAAACCTTGAAAAAGCAAACACATTATTCAGATATTAACAAGACTATTGGGGAGCCTGAAATTTAACTGATTTTAGAAACATGG